GGCCACACAGCCCGGAAGACCCACACCAGCCATCGAAGATTAAGAGGCTTGCAAAGGGTACATTTATTGGGAACAAAAATATGGGAAAATAGAGTAAATGCATATTTAAGGAAGGACCACTTTCAGTGCAGTGGGCATAGAAAAATTGAGTGATGACCGTGTAGGAAAATTAGGGGAGTGGAATGGCAGACCAGGCTGATAACTGGAACAATTGGCAACGTTTTGTGGCAGTTCCTATATATTTATGCTTTTTAACAATGCCCCCTTTTTTGTTCTTCAGAAAGGTGGGGGGACCTTCAACAGCTTTGGCCTTTGGGCAAAAACTTTAAGAAGACCGCATTTGCTCAGACCCATTCCTTTCCCTCTCAGACCTCCACAAAAGCCAAACCTTCTGTAGTTCACCTGAGCAAATGTGGCTCCTTTTGCATATGGACCATAACTGCCAAGTGTCCCATTAAATCAACCTCTCTTGTAAGCCTGCCAATGGGAGAGGGAAAGAACTGCTGTTGAAATGGACATTATGGATGCAGAAAGAGCTCGTGCCGGGAAAGGATGACCTCAAGAGCCAAGCAGGGTGATTAAAGTCCCAGCACACTAAAACTATTCTGAAATCCAGGGTTATCTGGTGGAAACAGCATCTTTCTCCCTGTCAATCTTCTCTCAGGAGACCCAGAATCAAGAGCGTTCCACAAACTAATCTATTTGCATGACGGTTTTCTGAAGGCATTGAGTCGTTTATGCATGCAACAGTGTCTCTTTCTGTGGGTTCCTAACTGGTCCACGTTGGACTTGGCTTTTCCCAGAAATGAGGCTGCTTCCTGAGCATGGTCCCAGCGAGCCTTCAATGGATCAGCTGTGATGGAAGTAGAAGAGAAGCCCCAAGGGTGAGAGCAATGTATCTTTCTGTCATACAACCATCTGGCTTCAATTCTTCCTGTGGATTCATGTCTCCATCATCTGAAGGGACCAAGCTGACGTAGAGGACAGAGGGCAAGCTGTGGGGCTCCTAGCTGTTCCAACCAGCACCTTGCCACAGTGACTGGACCCTGTCCAAGGTCCAGCACAGCACCAGGTTAGGAAAGGCTGGACAAGACCATCTTGGGTTAAACAGGTAGTTAATTTGGCTTGGTAGGTGACAACTTTCAGAGTGGAGAACAGGGTCCCCAAACGTATGTTGTGGGTTGCAGGGCTGTTTCTTCCAACATATTTTCTCTCATGTTCTCCTGCCTTCTGTCTAACCAGACAATGACAGATGCTTTTTCTCTGCAGTATTTTCCGAAAACCTGCGCTTTTCTCTGCCTAGAATACTGCATCCATCTCCTTTATCCACATCTGTCCTGCCATCCATTATTCATAGTGATGCTTTGTCACTCTGCTTTTTTACAGGCTGGGTGAGTGGCAGTTTCTCACCTCTTCTGCCCCGACTTTTCCCAATTAGATTGACTTCCACAAGCCGATGTGTGTATGCGTGCAAGAAGGTGGCAGAAGTGGGCAGAAATTCCCCGCTCTGGACCTGATTTTTCTTGGAGCATGTCTGTGCAAAGTTGAGCCTTTTCAGAAATGAGATGTGGCCAGGGAAATTAAAACCCATTGACACAGATATATGCCTCGTGTTAACTGTTTTGAACCTGCTGGTGCTATATTCTTGTTTTCAAATATGATTGTAAACTGTTTTGAAATACTTTATGGGAAGTGGCATTTAAATGACAATCTGCATTAATCTGCATTAATTTAAATATACAATCTGCATTAATCTACACCAATAAAATGAAATACACAGCTGCCAACTTCGGCTTGTGAAGCCACTGTTTGCCTAGACCTCTAGTGAAGGAGAACTCTACCCCTTCATGTGGCATCCTGTTGTGTAGGCTGACAGCTGGTATACAATCAGGATGTTCCTCCTGACATCCAGTTTGACTCTCCTTCCTTGCATTGGCTCTGATCCTGCTCACTGGGGCAACAGAAAATAAGTTCACCACTTCACTATGGGACAGCCCTTCAGATACCTGAAGACTGCTATCTTATCTCATAACTTTGGGAGCTAAATATAGCCAGTTCCTTTAACCATCCTTCACAAGGCTTGATTTCCAGGCCCACCTCCATTTTGGTAGTCTTCTCACCATTGGATATGAGGGAAAAGAATTGCATTTCAGGGTGCTGCTGATCACCTGTCTCTATGGCTTGGCAACTAAGTATCTTGGAGACCATCTACTTCTAAGAACCTGCCTATCTGATATATTAAAGATGAGTGGGCATATTGCAAGTCCTTAACTACTAGAAGATGAAACAAATGGAAGCTAAAAAGTGGACATTCTTGGTTAGGGCTCCCTTCCTCTAGGACAGTTGATGTGGGTCCTCCCTTTGTGATATTAGACAATCTGTCAAAACACTGCTTTTTCGGAGATGCTGTAGAGTGGGCCTGGCTGAGTTCTGATGGTTTTTTCCCCTGATAATTGAGAGAGGGTCAGGATGTCATGAGTATGATGTTATTAAAGATATTTGTTTTAATGTATTGACTTGGATCAGAGCTGTATTTTGTTGTTGTTGTTGTTGATGGTCATGGTCATGGTCATGATCATCATTCATTCATTTAACAAGGTGTGGTGCTGTTCTGAAAGAGCCGGCAATTACAAAATCAATTTAATAAAGTTAGTTCACAACTGAACAGCCAAAGCAGTAAACAGATATTGACACTGGGGTGAACTACACCCAACAATCATGCCTATTCAAAGCAACGTCCTGCAATACAACCAAGTGTTTACCCATCCATAATTAAAATAAACCAAGTATTAAGCTGGGAACGATCAAGATTCATGAAAGTAAGTGGGGGGAAGGTAACCAGGCCCTCTGCTAGGTCATTGATAGGAGTGACTGTGAGCAGAGCTCCCCCATCTAGGAATGGGCACAACTGGTACACAGTACAAAGCTTGGCAAAGGCCCTCCTAGCCACAATGATTCAGTTGCGGGCTGTATGATAATCTTTGTGGTTGACCACCCTTCTAAAGGAAAACCTAGTGCAGAAATGCTTCTCCTCATTTTTTTTCCAAGACAGGAAGTAAGCAGCAATGTATATTGGGGGTAGGGAGAGTCCTCTGGAATGTGTAAAGGCTAACATTGTACAAGAGAAAAATTCTGGGGATTTTATCGAACTATACTTCTACAGTTAAGTAACAAACCAAGGATCTCTGCATAAATTTCCTTTTCAGTGTGCTAGGCTGGAAGGGAAAAAAACCTGTAAATTATGCTGTGGCGGATTGTGATGTTTCAATAAGATTTAGATCTGATCTGCATTTAAACAGAAAAGTCAAAAAAGGCCTTAAATTCAGGTAAGTGCAAAATCATGCATATTCCAAAGCCAGAAATATTAACTATACCAAGCATAATGGAACAAAAAACCCAGTTGGTAATGGATTGTGATTTAAAAAAGAGAGAGAGAGAGAGAAACAGCTCAGAGTTTTAATAGATCATTCCTTTAAATCATTACCAGTGCAAAATGGGAGTTAATAAATTATTGGACATGCATATGTGCTCCTGTATTTAACTGAGGGGTGTGTCATCTTTACTGGCAGATGGACAAAAAGCAGCAGGAAATGTTGATATATGAACGTTCAGCCTTATTGATGGCCAAGGCACTAAATAATAAATGAACTGACATTGGGAAGAAGCTGATTTTGGATAACTTGGGGTTGCTAGAACTTTTTGGCCAAGGATGAGAGTTTGCATTGTCTGGAAATCTTGAGGGAAGATCAAGACCAAAGAACCAAATACTGAGTGCCGTGGTGGGCTTTCCTTTGTTGGATCTATTCAAGCTCTGGAAGGTCATCTGTCTGGAATTCTTGCACGGGGTGGAGGATTAGACTAAGAGGCTCAACACCCCTTCCAGTTCAGTGATTCCATAGGATTTAGCCCAATCCCTTACTTGACATGAGCATCTTGCAAATAAGTATTTCTGACATTGGTTGTCCAGGCTCTGGCTTAATCCTTCAAGGGGATAAGAACCATGTGAACCCAAGTCAACGGGGCTCCATTATCTTTTTCCATCAAGATACTTCTCCTCCTATTCCCACCCACTGGTATTAATTCATTCTTCTGGAGCAACAGGGAACATATCGGCTTCATTTTCTGCACAAGAGCCTCTCGCCTATTAGAAGAAGATTGTTGATCCCTTAATCTTCTCTTCCCCACAAGAAACAAATCCACTCAGCTCTTTCAGCCATGCTTCAGAGGTTTCCAAATTCTTCTCTGCCCTGGTCAGCTTTCTCTGGATCTGAAGTTATCAGAGGTTAAGCCTAAGTAGGAAAAAGGAACAGAGGAAGACACAGTATTATTCTTTCCCTCTGCAGCTTTGAAAGATTCATCTCAAAGAGCTTCTGGTGGACATCTCAGCTGATTCTGGGAGTTTATTCTAATATCTCTGAAAGTTGTTCAAAGATTTCAAAGCAGCTTCCCCCACCCAACAGGGAATCCAGTGTTTAATTTGTACCAATGTAAGAATGCAAGCTTTTGAATCATAAGGTCTCTACCTTTAGCCTGGTGTAAGAAAGGGAAGGGAAAATATATTTTGAAAAGGATTCCATGCAGACAGGTGTGATCTAGTGATACCTGTTCCAAGCCCCTCATGGCCAGAAGCCATTACTTCAAACACTCCCCCTTCACCCTACTGATGTGCTTGATTTTGTTGAGAGACTTCATTATGTCTTTTCTTTGGTTGGTTCTCTCTTTTACCTATTTCTTGTTTCAGGTGTCCGAAAGATGTGACTATGTATTTGTCAATGGGAAGGAAATGAAAGGCAAAGTGAATGCCATTGTCCATTTTACATACCAACATCTGAACACCCCCCTGGAGTTGACCGTGTGGGTTCCCCGCCTCCCACTGCAAATTGAAGTCTCCGACACAGAGTTAAATCAGATCAAGGGCTGGAGAATCCCCATTGTTTCTAACAAGAGGTGAGTTCCCTTGACATCTTTCTAGCTGAGTTCACACCAAACACCCCACCCTGGTTTCCTCTTCCATAATTTACTGGTCATCTAATTGGCTTCATTCACACAACATTGTGTTCCACAAACTAGCCAACCATATTTTCTACCTGGCCTTTCTGCGTTGTGTGAAACCAGCCTCTGTCTACCCTTGTTGCTAGTCCAGGATCTAATGTCTGAACAGCTGGCAATATCCCCCATTCTAATGCAGATCTAAAATTTGTGTATAAATATACGGTATATTTATTGATTGTAAGCATCAATATATAGGTTGTGTTCAGATGGTATACTTAATCTGGTTAACCTGTTTTCTGGGTTCACACAGTATTTGAATTCATTTGTGTATGCGTCTGGGTCTCTCTGTGTGTGCATGCCTTCAGTCAGTCTTGACTCCTAGTGACTACATGGACAGGTCCATGCAGGTTTTTTTGGCAACATTTTTGGAGATGGTTCGCCCTTGCCTTTGGAGAGACAATAACTGGCTCAAAGTCACCTAGTTGGCTTCCACGCCCAAGTCAAGACTAGAACTCAGATCTCCTCATTCCTAGTCCAGTGCTTTAACCCCTAGACCAGACTGGCTATCCATTTGAATTCATGCACTCACCAAATGGCAGGGTTCCCACCAGCATATTTTAGGAGGGAGGTAAAGATGACATCCAATTTGGACTTTGGGGATGAGGTTGTTTCATTCAGGGGAAGGAACAGCAGAGCCCCCAATGCAATAGGGCTGATTTATCACACACAGAAGTGATAAGTCCATGCATGTGCCCCTTAAGAGCAAGTCTTCAGGGTCCTAACATCAGCAGTGCCCTGGGGTCAGTCTTGAGGTTGGCTTGACCGTCTGGCTTGAATCTCTTCACAGACCAGCTAGAGACAGCGATGAGGAAGAGGAGGATGAGCGGAAGGGAAGAGGCTGTACTCTTCAGTACCAGCATGCAACAGTGCGGGTCCTTACCCAGTTTGTAGCTGAGCCCTTGGACCCTGGTGGCCAAACAACTTATCTGCTGGGCTCAGATTGGCAGGTCGACATCACTGAACTGGTGAACAATTTCATACAAGTGGAAGAGCCAAGGATTGCTAAACTGCAAGATGGCCAGGTGCTAGTGGGACAGGAGTTAGGCATGACGACTCTACAGGTGAGCCGAAGGAAGCATTGGCTGAAAATAGGATTTCCTTTCTAGATCGGACTAAAAGGTTCATTTATTTCAACTACCTGGAGATGATGGAAATGTTTATAACTAAGACATGAAGGCCAGCATGCTGCTTAGGACTGTAGGCCCCTGAATATGGAAGTTTCCTTAAGTTCATAATCCATCCAACTCTTGAACCCTGCTGAAGGATGAGGGCAGGATGGAAGCAGATAGGAAAATTGTGGCCCTTGACTTCTCAAATTTCAGAGCCAATTTTACTCATCAAAGTAGTAAAAACTCTGAATACTTAGCAATAGACCCTTAAAAGTTCAAGTCTATTCTTGGTTTACCTTGAAAAGCAGGACAATTAGGAAGGAACAGGCTACCAGCATAGGAAGAAGTAAAATGATAGGACAAGGCAGAAGAAAATGTTTTATGTTTCAAGAATGCCCTGAAAGCTACTAAAAAAGTTCATTTTATACTATTGGATTAGCTACAGATAAGGGTTTTTGCCCCCCTTGCATTGCAAAAAGACCGTCACGACACTCAGCAGTCCATGCATTGAGCAAATTTATCAGTCTTCAAAAAGCATTCTTTGTTGGACCGGCATCACTCTGCAGCCCTTTCTAAAGACGTTGATCGGTTGCAGAAACTCTTCACTCTGCCTTGTGTCCAGAAATACAAAGAACATATCTGGGAGAGAAATTCAGCAAGAACGAGAAAGTGAGAAATTGATAGTCAGTCCATTCACTTGGAAGGATACATATCACCTGTCTCTCGAGAATTCATCCAAGTCACCTACTTTTGGACTGCTAAGATCTCATCTGCTGGATTTCTCCCTTTTCATAAACCTTGCATGTCTCTTGTCCTTAGTTTTGTACCCAGAAGCAGATGGGGAAAAGCAAGAAGAGAAAATCAATATATGCAGGGCACTGATCCCATGAAAACAGGAAATGAATAACAATGGAAAATTCCTGGGATAGGGTGGTTAAACATAAGACAAAAGGAAGAAGTGTTGTTCCATCAAATTTTATCTCTTTGAGGGATCCTCAACAATTTTTAAATCTGCATTTTAAAGTGTGCAGATCCTGATGTCTCAGGTCTCTGAATTTTAAAACAAAGTTCTCGGTCAATCAGAAGCACCTGTAGATGCAGAGAAAGACATGTTTGGAGATGTGTTTAGAAATTTACCAGTTGAGAGAAAATAAGTGTAGAAATGTGCAATTTGGGAGAAAGTACCTTCATAATGCACATCGTCTTGTAGAGGTTGCAGATTGGAAACTGAATGGGATGGACCCATCTGATCTTCCCACCTGCAACAGATCATTCCCTGATGGTTCTTTGTCTTTTTTTTCATGCCTTCCTTCCTTTTTCTTCTTCTTCTCTTTCTTGACAATCCCTATTTAATAAACGCTGCAAACAGATGAAACTGAGACATAGACTAGCTTTGGGACATGTGATCTCCTTGGAATTGAGAGATGAGCTGTGGCTTTGGTTATCCCCTACAGATCCTGTCCCCGCTTTCTGACGCCATCCTGGCAGAGAAGACAGTGACTGTCCTTGATGAGAAGGTGACCATCACTGACCTGGGGGTCCAACTTGTGTCCGGCCTTTCACTCTCCTTGCAGCTGAGCACAGGAAGTAACAAAGCAATCTTTGCCACGGCAGTGGCCCATGAACTCCTTCAAACAGAAAAGCAGGTACCCGTCTCTCTTGTGCCTGAAGTTCCCTTTCTTGGGTTGTGTGTCTGTGTGTCCTGTCTGAGCAATTTAAAAAGGAAGGAGAGAGAAGAGCGAGAGGAAGGGCCCTCCCACAGTGGGGCGGAGGAGGCAACTCAGCGGAGGCCATCACTTGATCTTTTCTCACAGTGATGCAATCGATATTTCTTTTTAAAGCATAGTCAGTTACTGACAGTTGATACCTCAGCAAGTGATCGGTGAATGTGGGGTTTATTTTATTGGCAATGTCTTAAGGGGCCATCTGAATCGCCATGTGATGGAGAATCAGGCAGTGTTGTTAATGTATCTTTCCTCCTCCTCTCCTCTCCTCTCCTCTCCTCTCCTCTCCTCTCCTCTCCTCTC